GACGAATTGATTGATTGACGAATTGATTGATTGATTGATTAATTGGGTAATCAACCCTCCAGATCAGGAATGGGGTTGGAAAGCATCCGGAGCCGGTGGGGGCATGACCTTTTGTAATCAAAAGGTCTAGGAGGGTTGTGATCGAGGGTGCTAAGGATCGGGGTCAGGGTCGGCCGACCTCTGAATTACGGGGGGAAAAAAAAAATGTCGGTCCTCTGTGTCAATCAATCAATCAATTAATCAATCAATTAATCAATTAATCAATCAATCAATCAATCAATCAATCAATCAAGCGATCAATCAATCAATCAACCAATCAATCAATTTGATTGATTAATTGATTGATCAACCAATCAATCAACTATTTGAGCACGCCGTCATCCGCCGACACTCACCAAAATTTCAACCACCAATCCTCTACGGTAATTGATTAATCAATCAATCAATCAATCAATCAATCAATCAATCAATCAATCGATCGATCAACCGATCAATCAATCAATCGACCAATTAATTGATTGATTGATTGATTGATTAATTGATTGATTGATTGATTGATTGATTGATTAATTGACTGATTGATTGATTGATTATTAGATTGATTGATTAATTGATTGATTGATTGATTGATTGATTGATTGATTGATTGATTGATTGATTGATTGATCGATCAACCAATGTCAACCAATTGAGGACAGCTTCATCCGTCGGCCATCGCCGGGGGGGGGGGAAGGGGGGTAGCCGACGTGGCAGCACCGTTGGTCCGCAAAGAAGACAAAGAAGAACAATTGACAAAGAAGGAAAAAAAAAACCTGAATCTAAACATGTTCAAACATTAGACAGAAAGGAAGAAAAAAAAAAAAAAAAAAAAAAAGAGTCAAAGGAGAAGAACAATAAAAAAGCGTAAAAAAACGGAAAAAAAATTGCCACGTGGCAGTTGCGTGGACTACTATGAGAGGAGGACGAAGAAGAAGAAGAAAATGAGGAAGAAGAGAAAGAAGAACAATTGGAAAAAAAAAAACGTGGTGGGAGGGGGCTGAGGAGGTGGATGGGGAAGGTCGCGTGCTGACGTGACACCACGAGGAGTGTGCTCGTACGTTGCACCACGAGGGCAGTGCATGTAGAGGATTGCGATCGAGATCGGGGAAGGATCGGGGTCGAGGAGGTTTTTTTGTAGGCAAAAAAAAACGTAAAAAAAAAAAAAAAAAGTGGGGAGAAAAACACGTTGCGGTTTGCCACGTGGCAACTGACGAATAAGAAAAAAAGAAGTCCTGACAAAACAAAGAAAAAAAAACAAAGCGGTTTGCCACGTGGCCACTGTGCGAAGGAGAAAAAAAAAGAAAAAAAGTGTGTGGCACTTGCAACGTGGCAAACACCGCAACAAAGAAGGTCGGTGCGACGAGGAGGAAAAGGAGATGGATTTCAGACGAGGAGGAGAAGGAGATGGATTGCGAACGAGGAGGAGAAGGAGATGGATCGCGGGGGGTCCGGATGGGGGAAGATCGGGATGACAATGGAGGATTGGTATCGGGGTTGAGATGGCGGAAGATCGACATCGGGATTAGGATTGGAATCGGAATGGGGCATAACCCAATTGATTACGAAAGGGTCCTCTCCATCTCTCATTCCCTCGCTCCCACTCACTCTCTCTCTTTCTCGCTCTCTCTCTCCCTCCCTCTCTCTCTCTTTCTCACTCAATCAACCAATCAATCAATCAATCAACTTGTCAATGAGTCGATTTGATAAATTGATTGATTGGTTGATTGGTTGATTGGTTGATTGATCAAAATCAATTGGGGGGCTCGGGCCCGAGGGTCTGCGCTAGGCTAGTTGGAGAGGGCTGGCGCTAGGCTCAGGGGTTCCTAATTAGAATAAAAAAGCATTAAAAAAAAAAAAAGCAAAGAAAAGAATTTGTGTGGTGGTTTGCCACGTGGCAGTTGCGCAGATTACGACAGGAGAAAGAAGAAGAAGAAGAAGAAGAAGAAGAAGAAGAAGTAGAATCAGAAGAAGAAGAAGAGGAAGAAGAAGAAGAGGAAGAAGAAGAAGAAGATGAAGAAGACTAGGAAGAAGAGCAAGAAGAAGAATTGAAAAAAAAAAAGCACGGCCGTTGCCGCATGATGACCACGATGAGGAGCAGGAAAAGGACCATTGGAAGGGGTTGGGGAGACCAGGATCAGGATCCCGAGGAGTTACAGGAGAGCACCGCGAAAGAGGGGGGGACATCGATCAGTGAATGAGAAGAACAAAAAAAGAGAAAAGAAAAAAAAGAACCTCGCGGAGAAGAGAAGAGGAAGAGAAGAAGAAGAAGAGGAAGAAGAAGAAGAACAGGAAAAAGAATAAAAACGACACAAAATTAAGAAGAAGAAGAAAATGAAGAAGATGAGGAATAAGAATTGGAGAAGAATGGAAGAAGAAGAAGAAGAAGAGAACAAAGAAACGAGCGGATGAAGAGGGGAGTTGGAGAAGGAGGAAGAGGAACCTACCAGCAGAAGCCATATCCTCCTGGACCTCCTCTTTGTTGGTCGTGAACTTCCTTCGCTGCTACTCCACACTGCTCCTGGACAGCAAGAACGTTGCTCGCCTCTCTCTCTCTCTCTCTCTCTCTCTCTCTCTCTCTCTCTCTCTCTCTCTCTCTCTCTCTCTCTCTCTC